TAACCTTCAGGTTTAAAGCAGAAGAATAAGAGGATTCTAAGTCTGTGACACAAGAATCTACCTATCACTATTTAAAACAGACAAGATACCACCAAAAACAACTTTCTCCTCAAAAATTCCATGCTTACTGGTAGTAAATATGCAACCAAATTTTGGCAAGGTATGTTGTTCATACCTACTAATTAAAAGCATTCTTATCCCCGTACTGACTTTTTTTCTTTTCTTTTCTAATATGGCTGCAATTTGTATCTCAGGTTGATAAAGGCTAAATTTTATGGATGCCAAAATGGACCCACTCACATTTAGGGAGGAACATTAAAACAGGACTACACCTCATATAGTAAAGCAAAATTTAAAAAGTGAATTAAAAGATGAATGCTAAAATTAAATCAAACTCCAAAAAAATAAATAAATTGACTAAAGTAAAATTTAGATGATTATTGAAGTATTTTCAGAATGCCAAGAGATCTGAGTGTAGAAATAATATAATGAAACCACAAGCATAAGGACTTAATTGGTCCAGTCTACTAAAAACACATAGAAACAGTGAAATAAATATAACTTAAAAATGTTTCTTAAAGAAAGTTAAAAAAGCCCTGGCCGGTTTGGCTCAGCGGTTAGAGCGTCCACCTGCGGTCCGGAGAGACCCGGGTTCGGTTCCCGCTAAGGGCATGTACCTCGGTTGCAGTTTGTCCCCGGCCCTGGTTGGTCGTGCGGGTGGCAGCCACTCGATGTGTCCCTTTCACATCGATGTTTCCCTCTCTCTCTCTTCCTCTCTCTCCCTCCTACTCTGTCTGTACAAAAAAATGGAAAAATTTCCTCGGATGAGGATTAAAAAAAAAAAAAAAAAAGAAAGTTAAAAAAAAGAGAGAGAGAAAGAAAACCCCAAGGGCCAAAACAATACAAGAAACAGCTATGGATAGAAGACATCATAAAGGCTATGCATAAAGAATAAGAAGGTCCAACATACTTCTCTGAAAGGAATTCCAGAAGAGAATAGGAGAGAGGCAATATTAAAAGAAATAAGGGCGACAAAGAAGAAGGAAGAAGGAGAAGGAGAAGAACTTACTCTATAGAGAGCTTTCCACACTAGGCACTTTATGTATATTAATTTACTTAATCCTCACAACAATCCTATGAGGTAACACTCTTATTATCCCTATTTTAACTAAAGAAAATTGAAGGGCAACACAGTTGAGTTATTTAGCCAAAGTCACTAAGGGCCAATTCTCCAACCCAAAGTCTATGTAACAGGAGCGCTTTGTTGGACCACTTGACTTCTGAATCTCCACTACTCCATCCTGTCCATAGAGATTCACTTTAGACACTGCATAGAAATGTGGGTTAACTTTTGACTTTGCTTAGTCTGATATGCTAACAAAATAAAAATTACATGTGGTCACTAAACACAGAAAAAGTTACATACTCTTTTTTTTTCTTTATTGATTTTAGAGAGAGAGAGGAAGGGAGAGGGAGAGAGAGAAACATCAATGAGAGAACATGGATTGGCTGCCTCCTGCATGTCCCCCAATGGGGATTTAGCCTACAATCTGGGCATGTGCCCTGACTGGGAATCAAACCCGCAACTTCTTAGTGCATAGGTTGATGCTCAACCACTGATTCACACCAGCCGGGTAAAAAAAATTACATACTCTCAATGATAACCAGAGAAATACAAACTAAAACAAGACAAAGGCAGCCATGAAATTTGGAAAACCTACATTGGCACCCAAACTATCTTTGATATGCCAAATGGCTTTTCTATCTCATTTGATTAAAAAACATCTAGGAATATCACCAGGCAATGCTGTCTGCCAGGCAAATAATTCAGTTTTGGCAATGCCTTTGTGGAATGTTTTGATATTTTATTAAATTCTGCCTTTACTATTTTATAAAAATAAGTAGAAATAGGAAATGAAAGTTTGATTCAATTGATCAACCTTAGTCTCGATTACAGTTGACCCTCGAACAACACAGGTTTGAACTGCACTGGTCCCCTTACATGTAGATTTTTTTTTTTTTTTTATCCTCACCCGAGGATATTTTTCCATTTTTTGTACAGATAGAGTGGGAGGGAGAGAGAGAGAGAGAAACATCGACGTGAAGGGACACATCAAGTGGCTGCCACCCGCACGACCAACCAGGGCCGGGGACAAACTGCAACCGAGGTACGTGCCCTTAGCGGGAACCGAACCCGGGTCTCTCCGGACCGCAGGCCGACGCTCTAACCGCTGAGCCAAACTGGCCAGGGCTTACATGTAGATTTTTTTCCATAAATACAGTTGGCCTCTATGGATTCAACCAACTGAGGATCAAAAACAGTATTTTAAATCCCAGGTTGTAATCTGAGGATGCGGAGGGCCAACTGTATGCATTATTCTGCACCATTTTATGTAAGGGACTTGAGCATGTGTAGTTTTTGGTAACCGTGTGAGGTCCTAGAACCAATTTCTCACAGATACAAAAACTTAACTGACTTGTTAAGCTTTTGGAGAGTCAAAAGTTATACCATACATTGATTTTCAAGTACATAGCAGGGGTGGGGGTGTTTGTTCCCCTAATCCCCAAGTTGTTCAAGGGTCAACTGCATACCTTAGTTAAGCAAATATACACTCAGCTATAAAGAAAAATGAACAAAATCAAAGACATGTAATATAAGAATAAAGTTTTAGAAAACTATCTTTTAAAACAGTTTTAGAGATTTTAATCTTTTTAGCTCTTTGAAAGCACTGACTTTTAATTATTCAAGTTTGAACTCACTGTCAGAAAAGGATTAAAAACAAAATAAGAAATTTGATGAAAAATTTTTCATCTATCCAACTGGCAAAGATTATTTAAATAATCACCCTCAATGTTAGCAAGGGTTCACACAACTCTCCTATACTATAGTGGTGGAAGGATAGCTTGATGTTACCAATTCTAGCAAGCAATCAAGGACTTGAGCCCTGGACATTGAGGCTCAGATGGTTGGGTGTCATCCCCTGCACTGAAAGGTTGCTTGTTTGATTCCAAGTCAGGGCACATGTCCGGGTTGTGGGTTCAATCCCTGAGAGGGGACATGCAGGAAGCAGCCAATCGATGTTTTGCTCTCACATAGATGTTTCTTTCTCTTTCCCTCTACCATCATCTCTCTCTAAAAATCTATTTTAAAATCTTAAAATTAAAATAAAAAAAACTTTAGCCCGGCTCAGTGGCTGAGTGTCAACCCATGCACCAACAAATCACTGGTTCGATTCCCAGTCAGGGCACATGCCCAGGTTGTGGGCCCGATCCCCAGTGGGGGTCATGTGGGAGGCGGCCAATCACAATGCTCTCTCTCATTGATATGTCTATCTCTCTCCCTCTCCCTTCCTCTCTCTCTCTCTCAAATCAATAAAGAAAGAAAAAATAAATTTAAAAAAACTTTATAAATATTTACACCCTCTGACCTAGTAATTCCACTTTTAGGAACTTAGCTTAAGGAAATAATTGGAAATACACAGAAATATTTTGATGCATGAATATTCATTATAGCAATACTTAAAATACTAAAAAAAAATAAATGCAACTTAACAAAATGGGAATAAATTATGATCCATTTATATGACTGAATGTTATATAGTCATTTGGTTTTCATGAATACCTACTGTATACTGGCATAAAATGATGTTATCTAGGATTTACTTCAAATAAATAATCCAAGGAAGGAGGGAGTAGGGGTATGGATGAAGTGAGACTGGCTGAGTTGAGAAATGTTAAAGCAGATTGATAGATTCATGGGAGTTCACTACACTATTTTGTATATGCTTAAAATTTTTCATAATAAAGTAAAATATATATGGGAAATTTTAAGTAAAAAAAATAACAAGATACAAAACTGAGAACATAAATCCAAGTTCATAAACAAAAAATGATGATATACATACATGAAAATAATATATTAAAATGTTTAACAGTAATTATCTCTGGGCTATATAGCATTTGACTTACTATTTTTATCTTTTTTTATAACTCCTAACTCTTCCTAAGTAAACACAGATTAGCATTATAATCAAATATATATATATTATAAAAGCTATTTTGCAAGATGTTCAAAAGGCACATTCTTAACGGTAAGAACAAAGAAACATACAGAACTTTATTTAATCAATTAGTTTGATTTTCTAACTGATTTGTCAGCCTGCTGACTGAACATCTTTATGGGCTCTCCTGCACAGCCTCAAGTCCAAATTCCTCAATATATGAAGTCGTCTCCACTGGAGGCCCAGCCCTTTCCAGCCTCTTCTCCCACCACGCTCCTCCAGGGGGCAGTGTAGAATCTCCCCAACAAGGCACCTCCACATTTGTCACTTAATATACTCCGTGCTTTGTGAATCTAGTTAGGTGTGCTACATCTGCCTCTCCTGTTGGATTATAAACTCTGCCAGACACAGACCACAACCACGTCCTCCTCATCTGTAAGCCACAGTGCCGAGCACACTGCCTCATAAATAAGAAGTGTGGCTTTAGCTCTAATAAATGAAACTCATGGACAAGGCCAGATTAAAACTTACAGCACAGATAAAGCATTTTCAAAATTATGTAAACTTTCTAAGAAATGAACTCTGAATTTTAATCTCCAAAAACTGAAGATTAATCACCAAATAACATCGTTAAACCCCTTTAACAAGATCAACTTCTAAAGTCCTACATTAAGTTCATATTACAGATAATTCTGTTTTTCTTAAAAACTTTTTATTTTAATCCTCACCCTAGGATATGTTCCTTACACTGATTTTTTTTAGAGAAAAATGTCCTGGGGGGGGGGGGAGAGAGAGTGAGAAACATCGATGTGAGTGAGAAATAGCAATCGGTGCCTCTTGCACGCACCCCGACCAGGGATCGTTAACACAACCTTTTGGTGTACAGGGAAAACGCTCCAACCAACTGCACCACCCGCCAGGGCAAAAGCAAAAACTTTTTAACAACTTTAAATCTAATCTTCAGAATCTGCATTATTCTCCAGAGATGTGCCAACTTACGTAACAGCTGTGGCTTTGTGAATGAGCGCCTCTGTCTGCTCTGACAAGTGTGATGGAAGCAGCAGCTCCACGGGCTGCAGGCACAACAGCCGAGTTTCTAGCTCTGAGCGGGAAGCCGAGTCCTGGAAACTATCGAATACAACCTCACCTGTGGCAGGCTGCACGCCCTGAAAACAAATAAAAATGTAATGTCACAAGAAACAAATGTTTCCCAATTATAACTCAGGCACAGCATAAGCAAGCATGAAAATAGCAGAGATGATACACTCACTGGTGTGTACTCCATTTCTAAAGTGTTTGAAATCTGTCTGCTTTCCAGGACTCTTAATAAGAAGTCAGATTCACCAATATCCAAACTATCCTAGACGGATTTTACAGTGATACCGTGAGTCCTCCTGGATCTAACAAACCTGATGCAGTGACTGTGACAAGTTACCAATCCCTCAGTGTCCTCCTCTCTAAGTGGGACTAAACCAGCCTACTTCCCTCATAGAGTCACTGAAAGGTTTAAATCAGAAAACAGACATGAATGCTTTGTAAACCATACTGACAGACAGCAGGTGTCATCACTAAAAGTAATTAAGTGATGTGTTCCCAGTAATCTGGCTATGAGATTAGTAGTAAATTACTATTCAATTATATAAAGTTAATAAATTAAAAGTATAACTTTTGAAAAAAGTAAAATATAACAAACTCTGAACCCTAAGTAGAGTCTATCCAGGGAATCACTATGATAACTAAAAGCCACCCCTATCACCCCAAGCCAATAATAGCAAAGATAAACTAGAAAAGATCATGGTTTAAAACCGGTAAAAAAAGTTCTCAAGTAGTTGACCCAAGGTAACAGGGTGATAAAGGCCCTGGCCCACTGCAAAAGCTAACTGCAGTATATGATCTGGGATGCGAGAAAAATGAGAAATGGTAGTTTGACTCTCGAGTGTTTTCTTGGGACCTGTTCTTGACTTCAGTGACCCCTTTTGAGTTGATATCCAGAGCTCTGGGTCCAGGCTGCACCTTTCTCCTGAGCTCCAGACTCCTGCATCCAACTCTTAAATATAAAAATTAATCCTCACCGGAGGATATTTTTCTATTTATCTTCAGATAGAGTGGGAGGGAGAGAGAAATGTCGATGTGAGTGGGACACATCGAGTGGCTGCCTCTTATACAACCCCGAACAGGGCCGGGGATGAACCACAACCAAGGTACATGCCCTTGGCTGGAATCGAACCCACAACTCATTGGTCCGAGGGCCGACGCTCTACTGCTGAGCCAAACTGGCCAGGGCCCATATCCAACTCTTTATTGGACAAGGCACTCAGAATTTTCCCTGAGTTCTCAAACTCAGCATGGCTGCAGCGGAACTTTCTTCTTTCGTCCTAGACACTATTATTGCTGGGTTTGTCCCCACTGTAATGAGTGCTGCACGTTCCCCAATCACAAACTTTTTTTAGGTACAACTACCTGAGGGCACACTTCAGCAGATTATTATAAACCATACATGATTGCTCATATTTCGGGATACCGTTGACCATCTATCATTTTTTCTTCACCTACAAAGTACTTACCACGATTCCAATGAAAATGTTCCCCCTTTTTTTGTCCTTAAGGTTTTCCTTATCTTCACAGATGCAGAGAAGATAGCTAGTAGAAGTATCAGTCATCATCTCATCAATATTTATGGCATCATCCAGCTGGACTAAAGGATTCACATGTAATAATTATTAAAGAAAAATATACGCTACATTCCCATTAATATTAACTGTTTTCTCCTTTATTTTTATTTATTTATTTATTTTATCCTCACCCGAGGATACTTTTGCATTTATCTTGAGATAGAACGGGAAGGAGAAACATCGACCTGAGAGAGACACATCGAGTGGTCACCACCCACACAACCCCAACCAGGGCCGGGGACAAACTGCCACCGAGGTACATGCCCTTAGCAGGAACCGAACCCAGGCCTCTCTGATCCACAGGCCAATGCTCTAACCGCTGAGCCAAATCGGCCAGGGCAACTGTTTTCTCCTTTAAATTAATGGTCCATTTTTTCAGGCATTTTTGCTCTGTGCACAAATCTTCCACACAGCATTCATTTTCCTGATTTACTCTGATCATAGTTACATGCCTTACGTTCTCTAAGATACAAGGCTCATGAGGACAGACAACTAATGTTAATCCTCTTCTTTACTTGGATGATGCTGCAATTTAAAGCCTTAACATTCCCCTAATGTTTCATTCCATAAGTCAAAGCATGAATGTGATAAAATAGTATAAATTACTTTCCTCCTTTTAAGTGTCTAATAACTCTCAAGAGAAAAGAAAACCAAAAAGGAAACAGAAACATACATTCGTGCATGTGTGTGTGTGTGTGTTGAGTCCATAAATAAATTCTCAGGGATAAATGCTAATTTCAGTCTGGGAACATTCAATCTGGGCATCAGCAGATATAGCAGTAGCAAAAGAGAAGGAGGGAGGAGTACTGTTTTAGGAGCAGGCTTCAATTAAGAGACTCAAGTTCAGGCAAAAGAAACAATAAACTTACCAGTCTTACAGCCTGGTCAGTTTGGAGTAACACAGAGCTGTTAATGGTGGTGGGGGGGGAGGGGTCCATTTTGAGTGACAGCTGTTCCGTATTCATATTAACAAAACTCTTCATAATTTGGGTAGAAGCTAAGCAGGTCTCTAAATAAGCAGATTTGTAATAAACTAACAGAAATATTACTTTCACAGTATCATTTAAAATCTTATCCCTATATTCTTTTTTTTTCCTTTATTGATTTGAAAGAGAGAGGAAGGGAGAGAGAGAAACATTGATGAGAGAGAAAATCGACTGGCTACCTCCTGCATGCCCCCCACTGGGGATTTGTCCCACAACCTGGGCATGTGCCCTGACGGGGAATCAAACCAGCAACCTTTTGGTGTATGAGTCAATGCTCAACTACTGAGCCATACTGGCTGGGCAATATATTCTTTTATTCTGAGACTCAACTCCATACCACAGTACACATTTTAAAACACATCCTTATCTAATTTTATACATAATTATTTGGTTTTTAAAAACTCACAGAATTTTATGACTTTGCTATTAACTCATTGAATTTATGAAAGACCATGAATGTTGGGGCAATCATTGTGCACACTAAAGATTCTTCGAAGTAAGAAAGCTTCACCTATAATCCATTTTCAAAAACAATATAATTTTTATGAAGCTAACAATTAATGAAGATGGCCTATGTTTTATAAGAAGTTAGTTGTGTGTTGACTTTGTAGTTTTCTTTTCTCACTTGAAGAAGTTATTTTTTAGGTCTTGTCTTAGGAAGATCTGGAGGAGCTCATAGGCCCTAAGCGACTAACCACTGTCCACATAGGTCTCTGCAAATCAGTTGCTAACCTATCGTCTTCTATCAGGCTGTCCTTTCTCTTGCTCTTGAAGTATGATAAGCTCTCTTTTTACTATGGCATTTGGAAAAAAAAATGTTTGTTTCCAACTATTACCAACCCACAGCTCTTCAGTAGCACGCTGATCAAAGGTCAAAGTAACCACCCAAAGAACAGAGTTTTTTTTTAATGTTACTTAAAACAAAGATTTCTGGCCCTGGCCGGTTTGGCTCAGCGGTTAGAGCATCCGCCTGCGGTCTGGAGAGACCCGGGTTCGGTTCCCGCTAAGGGCATGTACCTCGGTTGCGGTTTGTCCCCGGCCCTGGTTGGTCGTGCGGGTGGCAGCCACTCGATGTGTCCCTTTCACATCGATGTTTCCCTCTCTCTCTCTCTCTTCCTCTCTCTCCCTCCCACTCTGTCTGTACAAAAAATGGAAAAATGTCCTCGAATGAGGATAAAAAAAAAACACAAAAAAAAAAAACTAAGATTTCTGAAATGTAAAAGAAAATTTCATATTCAAAAAGGATATCTTCTCCAATAAGTGTAGATTTTGTATAAAGAGCAGTCAATTTCCGGGAAAAGACTGAACTTTTGTTGTCTCCAATGGCCTTTAATGCTGCTGTTTCTGTTTGCTTCACAACTCCTACCTTCAACAAAGATAAGAAATGTTAAATATCAAATATGATGAAAAAATTTTAAAACATGTATTCAGATTTTAAAAGGTTAATTCTGAAAACATTCATCACAGTTTTTAAAAAATTTACCCTAAATATCTAATATATTAAAACTCATGCAGATACAATGCTAATAATTATGACACGCTTTCCTTTCCCCAAAATGCCACATTCCAAAACCAATTAGAGCCTTGCACCTCACAAAACACGTCTGCACTCTGGACGAGGATCGGGTCCCCTCCTCCCACAAGGTGAGCAAGCTGACCTTGTATCCCTTTGCCACGAGGCGGCGGACATGAACAAACAGTCTGTGAGTAGGAATGCTTGCAGTCATAAAGTTGTGATCTAAATGGCAGTAAATATTGAGCTCCCGGGATGCGATCTAAAATATTGAAAAAAAGAGTATCAATAAATTTCTATTTCAAAATTCTCTGTGTGGCATTTGTTCAGATTGTTAAAATCCATGAAGGTACACACGTAGGACTTGTGCCCTTATTCACCTGTGTGGTAATATTAACAAAAAGTTTGGAAGTCACTCCCTGTGCAATAGCCTGCAGTTTAACCTGGTATTTTTGGCAGTTTCCATGGCCTAACCTCAGGGTCAACATCTGTATCTATAAATGACTCAGAAGAATATGACAGTTCTTCTATGTCCTTAGCTCTATCAAAACTTTAAAGTGCTAAGCTTCCCCTGTAATGGAATGAGAATAAGAAACTGCAATGGAATAAGAATTTGATACCACAGCACATGCAAATAACTAAAAATTAAGAGACACTGAGAGTATGTATACATAAATTATAAACCTACTTGGACAGAGGGCATCTTTGAGGAAGTGAGAACACAAACCCCTGACATGATCAGCTACTTAATGATGCATGAGTGATAGAAATGCAGAGCCAGGCAGTACCACCTGACTCCCTGCTTCCTTCTAGACAGCACCATAGTTCAGAGACTGCCCACTAGACCATGGGATGCTCATTCTCATTTCTGAACTGTACCCCATCCATTTCCGAACTGTATCAGTTCATCACTGCAGGGCAGGAAAACATCAGCCTTTACTATGGTTAAGGCTAAATCAACCATTTGACCTAGAGAGAAGGAGCAAGAACAGCATTTCCTTTCACCCCTTCACTTACAGGATGCCAACTATATATTTGCTCCTGTCTGCAGGAACATGCTGACTATTTCAAAGTTTAACTTCAGAACACAGAATACAGCATAATGCCATCTGAACGAGACAATACCACTTTCCTGCCACAACAGGGTTTAGGAAACTGGAAGAAAAAAAGTTGGCCAAGTCTTCACTTCCCATGCACGAGGCAGCAGAAGTGCCACCTTGTCATTCTCTGATGGTGTGCAACCCAACCAGGCCTGAACCATGGAATCATCAAAACCACTCAAGACTTCAACAGAGAATTCCCCTAAGCTTGCCCATAAATGCTCAAATTCACTTCTGACCTTAACTCAGGCCTACATCAAATACCCAAGGTTAAACACAAACCCAGCTCAGACTAAAATAGCAAGATGACTAATATACAGAGACCTGTAAGACTTCAAATATCTCTTGGTGGCTGGCAGATTTAATGGGCTCTTCTATTGAGACTAACAATGTTACTAGCTATGAAAATTCATAAATTATGGGTAAACAGAGGAACTTACATCTCAAATATTTTTTTCTTGCTTGAGTCTTCATTAGAAAACATAGATATTCACATGATTACACTTGTCTCACTAATCGATTCATCCAATGAACTTCTGATGGATGAGAGATACTAAGCTAACACCATGGAGAAACAGCACCAACATTCCAATAGGAACCCCTTGTCTCTTTCCCCACAAGTCTAGCACTCATCAAGTTTGTTTGTGTTTATTTTTAGTTGTTACTTTAAATGACAGTATTTTTAAAGGGTAATTGATTACATTCACGTCTTCATAAGGTCATAAAATGAAACAAAAATACTGGAAGATATTTAAGTCTGGACAAGAAAAACATTAAACAGTGTTTGAAAAAGCAACTTACCTCTGCATCTTCCCCAAAGAATCTATACTTATATCCACATTCCACACACAAGATTGCATCTTTCTGCTGCTGCTTCATTTCTATGTACTGTAATTCTAACGGCGTGTAGATGCTTTTGGTCCTTTTGTTAGGTGGTTTAGAATCAGAAATTTTCTGCAAGTTTTCATAACTCCTATGTGATGATCCTAAATGACTGAGATGAGAAAGTGTCTTGTCCTGGCAACCAAGAGATTTTTATAGTTTAAAAATGTTACTAACCATAACATTAATTCCCAGAGAGAATGCAAATATGCTACAAAGCTAACAACTGGTGAATCGGAGGAGTACACGGTATATTAAGGCACATTTTTTTGTAGGTTTAAAAGTTCTTCAAAGTTGAAGACAAAAAGAAAAATGAGCCAAACTAAACTACTGTATAATTATTAAAGCAAAATTTGAAAGTCTAAATGTTTTAATGTTTTATGTACTTCTTTTTACATTTAATTTAATTAAACCTATTGTAATTAACATTTTTCTTTTCAATATTTATTCCAGGTGTGTAAGACACAGTCAGCAGGCATGACTGTCTCTCTAGCTATAAGACAGAATCACTTTCAACAAGAATGTGAGCAGCTAGCATTGCAATAGTTTACATTTTCCAGCACAGTCTAAAAGATAATATATTCCATGACAGTCCAAGAAAAAAAAACACGATTAGAACTTTTTGAAAAGTAGTGTTATAATTTAAAAGTTTTTTGGGAGGGAGAAACAGTGGGGAGGGGAGGAGAAACATCTGTAACAAAAATAAATAAATTGATTAATAAAAAAATAAATAAATAATAATTTAAAGATTTTTATTTTATTAAATTTATTAGGGTGACATTAATTTAGAGATTTTAGTGCTTCTTCACATTTTTAATTTAAAAAGATCCATGTGTAATTTAATGATGTATATTAAATTTAATTACTCACATACTTCAGATTAAAAAAAAAAAGAACTTTTAGAAAACATAAACCAAAGGTTACATTTTCAACATCAGTATTCCTGCTATCATTTCTTTCCTATATAAAAATATAATTAATTCCAATTCACAGCTGAGAGCAAATTCTCTGCTTATGAGACTTATTTATACAAAAGGTAAAATGAAACAAATTTATAGAAAAAACTCAACTTCTAATTAATTGTCACTGTCACATACAACCAACATCTAAAAAATTGATGAGCCACCTCTGAAATTAAAAATGTGGCCTAGCCCAGCCAGGGTGGCTCAGTGGATTGAGCATTGTCCCATGGACTGAGAGGTTCCAGTTCAATTCCCGGTCAGGGCACATGCCCAGGTTACAGGCTTGATCCCTAGTAGGGGGCATGCAGGAGGCAGCTGATTGATGTTTCTCTTTCACATGGATGTTTCTCTCTCCTCTTCTCTCTCTCTAAAAAAATCAATAATAAAAACATATTTTTAAAAATATATATGGCCTAAAAAACTAGGGACCAACAAGGGAAGAGAGAAAGAGAAATGTCCTATATGGCCCAGAGAGGGGAATTCTGGCCCAAGAAAACGTGTACTTTACATCTGCTAAATGTTTAAAAAGTCAGCTTGGCTGGGGCAGCAGGTACAAACACAAATTATCTGAAAGTGTTGCCCAGCAAACATCTGGAGATCAGCCATAACACAACAGTTAGCGATGCAGAGGTGTGGCAAGAGAAAAGTGGACATCAGACTGGACAAAGTATTTGCTTTTCATTTTGATGGGAATTTCCCACTTCATTTCCATGATTTTTATGTGAACTCTAGGAATACTACATACTGAAAATCTTCATACTTCAAAATATGTATTTCCTAGAGGAAAAAAGAGTCCTTACTGTAATGTCCTTATTCATATAAGGAATAAGAGTAGGCATCTGGGAAAAAGGTTCATGTATCTATAAATCAATCTGAATACTTGAGTATTAAGCAACATTTTTTTCACCACTTGGGGAAAAACACTTCTCAGATATATTGTACTCTTTCATATTCCCAGAGACGGCATTCTGAACTCAATTTGACTTTGTCTTGACAACTCAGGGTGGTCAGATTAATAAAATAAAAATTTCAGGACCTGTTAAGTCTTACGGGACCCCGGTCAGTTTTGCTCACTGGTTAGAGCATCAGCCCATGGACCAATGAGTCATGGGTTCGGTTCCAGTCAAGGGCACATACCTGGGTTGCAGTTCATCCCCAGCCCTGTTGGGTCGTGCGGAAGTCAACCAGTCAATGTGGTTCTATCACATCAATGTTTCTCTTTGTCGCTCCCTCTCTCCCTCCCTCCCACTCTATCTGATGATAAACAGAAAAATACCCTCAGGTGAGGAATAAAATAAAAATAAAAAATGACTTACGGGGTTGCCTGGCTAGCATGGCTCACTGGTTGAGTGTTGACCCATGCACCAAGAGGTTGCCAATTCGATCCCCAGTCAGGGCACATGCCCAGGTTGTAGGCCAAATCCCCAGTGAGGGGCATGCTGGAGACAGCCAATCGATGTTCTCTCTCTTTGATATTTCTATGTCTCTCTCCCTCAACCTTCCTCTCCTTCTAAAAATCAATTTAAAAAAAAAAAAAAAAAAGACTTATGGGGTTGTTCACCCCACACAAATGGTCCCAGACCACCAGGCATTTAAGTTTATTCAGTAGCTTTTTTCCATTTGTCTGTGTCCTTTCATGCCATCAAATACTCAGCTATCACATGTAATAACATCCATATACTACTTCTAGGTGTCCCTTATAAATGTTTATTCTAATTTTAATTTTCTAATAATCAGAAATTCCAATTTGGTCACTGAATGCATAGTAAGTGGATTCCTATGAGGCCCTACAGTAAATTCTCCAATTCATCAATTGTGAGCTATAATAAACAAACTTTTTGACCTCTATATTTTATGACCACCAAACTCTGGTTAAGTTTTAAGTAGTATTAAAAACTTTAAAAATAAGAAAAAAAAAAAAACAACCTTTTTTTCCCCTGATAATCTAAGATAATGGATCTTGATATTTTTCTGAGGAAAGACTCTATACCTTTAATTAGATAAAAATAACTCATAAAGTGTAGACTACTTATCTATTTTAGTGGTTCTCAACATTAAAATGAGAGCTTTTAAACAATATCCAAGCCCAGTTCTTATTGAAAACCAATTATTAATTCTAAGACAAATTTCTTGCTATCAGTACCTTTTTTAAGTTCTCCAGTGATTCTAATGAAAGCTGGGCTGAAAACTGCTATTCTGAATTGTAAATTTCAATGATGGAGCAAGAGTTAAATTCCTGATTTTGCAATGATGAAAAACATTAATAAATTATAAAACAGTAGAAGGACCCATCTTCAGTCAGCTTACCTTTGAATTTACATCAACCAAGCTTTCAACTGAAAACGTCAGAACATCTATATAAGTTGTCCATGGTGACAGCCCAGGCTAATCTCAGAAACCACACAGAGGACTGTAAGAAACACTGCTTGCACGTAGCAACATAGGATCCCCCACGTCAATGAATAGCTCCTGATCCGGGCACCATACATCAGAATCACCTGAGGCTTCTACTTTGTTTTGTTTTAACACAAACCAATTCATCCTCCCTTAATACACAGGAAATCAGAATCTCCAGGGACTTCAAAATAAAATAAAAGTAAAGTTCCCTCAACTAATTTGGATAATCAGCCGAGTTTAAGCACCATGCCCTATGTGGACCCACAGAACCTAAAAGCACTTCAGAACCTACTATTCTAGGTAGTTGGGTGTTTGTCTATATAAGTGTTACATACCTTTTGACCAATTTGAGATTTGGACTCTTTGGAAGAAAGTGCATTCTTTGCACGCATAAGACTGATATCGTCAAAGTCGGTACATTTTGGCAGAACTGCAAATCTCTCCTGAAGGGGCTCCCTCTGGACTTTACTTTGAGGCAAGGCGGAATCGCAGCAGAATTCTTTCAGTTTCTCCAGAGACTTTAAAACAAGCCTGGTCCTCAGACATTTCCTTGACTCTTAGCAAATCAGAAGAAAATAAAACAATAGCATTTTGTCTCATTATGTCAATTCATAACCAGCATAGATTTTTAAGAGGGAGTTTTGTATTAAAGCAATGACTCTAATTATAATATAAGAAAATAAAAAAACTTGAGTCCAAGGTAAACATGGTATACTTGAAACATACATCTAATTTATAATTTCACTTGGTCCTAAAACCCCATTAAAAACTATAGCTTTTTTTTAAAGCAATAAGCCCATAAGTACAGAAAGAAAAGGAGGGTTCAGAATTACAAATGAAATATCTGAAGCTAGAAGAAAAAATGAATAAGCAACAACAAATTTAGCATACTTGAAACCTAAATCCTAAATCAGCAGCGAAGAAAACCAAGAACTGCCCTGGCCGGTTTGGCTCAGCAGTTAGAGCATCGGCCTGCGGTCCAGAGAGACCCGGGTTTGGTTCCCGCTAAGGGCATGTACCTCGGTTGCAGTTTGTCCCTGGCCCTGGTTGGTCATGCGGGTGGCAGCCACTTGATGTGTCCCTTTCACATCGATGTTTCTCTCTCTCTCTGTTCCTCTCTCTCCCTCCCACTCTACCTGAACAAAAAATGGAAAAATGTCCTCGGGTGAGGATAAAAAAAAAAAAGAAAAGAAAACCAAGAACTAATCCTATATTTACAACACAAAATACTAAAAGGCTCAGGAATTAGGGCACTTGTAGCTCTGAAAATGGAATAGAGGGAGGTTCTAAAGTAAAGGGGATTGGTTCAAAGTAGTTTGCTCCCCAGATGCCCCATCCTACTCTAAGTCCAAGGGCAGCTGTCCTTCCTCCACACCAGCAGAGGATGGAGACTTTTGTGGAAAAGGTAAAATAGGCACAGTTGAGATGCAGTTCTGTACCTAAGCCAAAGAACACTCATGGAAAGACAGTCTTACTGTATGCTGAGAAACGCAGCCTCTTCTGAGAACCTCTTCTCAGAACAGGCTCTTCCATAAGACAGAAGGTGGGGAGACTCCAGACTAGGAAATCTGATCGGCTCAATGGAAAAGACCTATAGATACTGACACCAGGAGTGCACCAAGGAAACCGGATCACCCCTCCAGACACACCTGCTTTCCTGCCTCCACAGCTTTGCTCGTGCTCTTCTTTCTCTCTAGTATGGCCTAGCCCCCAACTGCAACATGTCCAAACTGACTCATTCATCAACAGCCATCTCAAAGCTATCTTTACCACGAAACGCTCTGCTAATTCCCCAACGTAAAAATCACCTTTTCTTTTTCTGTGTTCCTGTAACAAGATCATATCTCTCAATAGCACTAATCACAGTCTGCCATTTAGCAGTTAATCATAAGCAATAAATCCATAAAAGAAGGGAAATGATCATTTATTGGTTATCTGCTATATACCAGAAAACATTATTTTACCCTTTAGGGCAATACTATTTTTTAATGTTTAATTTTTTCTTTATTAATTTTTAGAGAGAAAGGAAGGGAGAGATAGAAACATCGATGAGCAAGAACTTCAATTGGCCGCCTCCTGCATGCCCCCACTGGGGATTGAGCCCACAACCTGAGCATGTGCCGTGACTGGGAATCCATCCGGTGACCTCCTGGTACGTGGGTCGATACTCAAACACTGAGCCATACCAGCCGGGCAATGCTATTCTTTTTTAATCCTCACTCAACAATGTGTTTTACTGATTTTAGGGAGAGAGAAACATTGATCATCGATCGGTTGCCTCCCGTACGCACCCCCACAGCCCCCAGTGGGAATTGAACCTGCAACCTATGTATGTGTCATGATTGGGTATGATGCTCCAACTAACTGAGCCACACCAGCCAAGGCTAAAGCAAAACTATTTAGGTAGCTACTATTATATATAAGAAAACTGGGGCTGCGTTTATCATCTTTTACTTTCCCCTTTAAAAGCGTAAACACTCTCCCTCTCACTCTATCTGAACAAAAATGAAAAAATGTCCTCGAGTGAGGATAAAAAAAAAAGCGAAAACACTCTGAGGGCAAGTGTTGTGTTTTATTCATTTCTAAAAGTTTAAAAATTTTCATATTTCTAATTAAACCTCTTTCAGATGAATACTTTTATCTTATCTCTTGTTAATCTCATAGCTGGGAAAATGTCCATTTGAATCTCTTCAATAGTATATTTACATCCTATTTACTATCACTCTCTCCCTTTCAAATATATATTTGAATCACTCTTCAAAAGTATAAGTTTGCAAATTACACAAGGGTTTCCTTCCTAAGGATACAAAAAAACTTTCCCATGACGGGGTGGGGTGCAAATCTTGCAAAAGACAGAATATCTAAAACTGACATGTTAAAAACTTGAGGTGATGGGGATGTAAAGTACAGCATAGAGAATATAGTCAACAATATTGTAATAACTATGTATGGTACCAGGTGGATACTAGACTTATAAGGGGGATCACTTCATAAGTTATGTTGTACAAATGAAACTAACACAAAATAATACTGAATGTCAACTGTAATTGAAAAAAAACTTGAGATGAAGTAGCCAGCAACTCTTCTGGCTGTTGGACGCTCCTCTTTTCTTCCCATTATTTATTTTAAGTAAACTATAAAGTTCATATTTCGAAAACTTCCATGTCTATAGCCTTGTTTCCACAAGCTTCAGAGTTCACTTGGCCAGATCTGGAGCAATGTGGACCTGGGGACAACGACTTGTGAGTGTGTGGTGAGACCCCCTGATGCAGTACTTTCATACCCTCCTCCTTACCATCCTTCCCTACCCTACTACCCTACTCTCACCACTGCCAAAGAAGAGTCCACCACAGTTTCATTCCTGAGCTGCTATCACTTCAGAAAGGCTTATGTCAGTTTAGGTATGAGGGTAATGAAGAAAGAAGCATTTTCTGTCTTCCCTTATCACAAACTCTCTGAGGCCAAAAACCAGAGAAAAGTCTGCTCAACCACCTATATATCCAACACCATCTATAGAGGTCTAGAACCTCAGGAATGGTGGTTTTATCCAAAACCCTTCTGCACACAGAAAAAGCAGCTCCACCCTAAAAAATGGACAGGGGTGACATACATGTCCTGACACTGAAAATTGTTCAAATGTTCTGCTAAGTGGAAAAAGATAGTTGCAAATTAGCATATACAGTATACAACTTATAAAATATTATTAACTAATTTGTGGGTCTGTGTGTATACATATCGATGTGTATAAACAGAAAAAAATATATATATACAGTACCCCCCAAAATTAGCAGTAGGTCTTACTGAAAGGGAGGGGTTATTGGGTCTTTCACTGTCTACTGTCTACATTTGTTTTTATAACAAACATGGTTTATACATCAGGCCAAAAATCAGCTAGAGGGAACTACAGCCAAACTGCAGAGCTCCGGCTCTTACCTCCACCACTTATGGAGGGGCCACTCTACTCAAGCACAATGGAGACCTTTCATCACAAAGGGGAAAAGCGGTACAACTCTCCAAATAGCATCCTCTGCCCTCTGGATAATGCAAGGATATCAGAGCCATGACTGGTAAGGATGAGAAACCATTGTCACAAAACTTACCAGGGTTCCCAGACACTACTGAATCACTTTGTCCTTCCTTTTCTTGGACTTTCTTTGCTTTCTTTATAACAGGCCCATCGTTCTCTAGTGGTCTCTTTTTACTTCTGTCAATTTCTGCAACCTATATCCAGAAAGTTAGAAAATGATGTTATCTCTAATCTCAAAACAGGATGTATATGAAATAATTTAAACCTTACTTCTGAATGACAAGGTCCTTGCCATCCTTCCTTCCTAGAATCATCTACTTTGAGCTCTGGAAAAACCTATGGGTGAACGTTTTTACCATTCATGAAAGACAAGTTGGAGACTGACAGGTCATGAGTCTCAGCACTTCAAGCTCTGCTAGAATTAACTGGAACCAAACCTGTCACCTTTCTTTACTTAACCAGCCTTCAGCTATCTCAAATTATATAACTCAAATTACTCTACTTCCACATGTTAAATAAAATACCTTTAAAAGAAAAAGTATTTATTTAGTAAAGGTGAAATTAGATAAACAAAAAAGAACAGTATCATTTTGAAATGTTCACTATAATTTGTTTTATGTTCACCACTAAAGATGCCACAGGATTATGAACATTTGTTGACAGGAAGCCTGTCAAAAATGTGAAGTCCTTCACCAAATACCCTCTAAATGGTGGGTATAATATAAAATCTTAGTGAATTCATAAAAATGTAGACTACTGTCAAAGCACAAAAACAGGTCCGTGTCTCCCCCCCACCCCCTCAGTGGTTGAGCATCAACATATGCACCAAGAGGTTGCGGGTTTGGTTCCCAGTCAGGGCACATTGCCCAGGTTGTGGGCCAGATCCCCAGTGGGGAGCATGCAGGAGGCAGCCAATCGATGTTCTCTCTCATGGATGTTTCTATCTCTCTCTCCCTCATTTCCTCTCTCCGTAAAATCAATAAAGAAAAAAAATTTTTTTTAGAACACAAAAACAGAAGAGAGCCAATCAGTCTACGGAAAAAAATATAAATTAAACAAGATTTTGAAGCAGCCAAGCTGTCATCCTCATTTAAACTTAGAAAGTGGCCGAAAGCCCATCCGCAATCCCCTTCAACATCCTCAATTTGAGAAATACTGTACGAGGGGCCCCGGTGAGGTCTCACCCTTAGGCATTCCCCTGTGGCAGTGTCCTGGTTTAAAAAAAAAACCTAATTACTTTTCTCAGCTGAAGGGTGGCATCTAACAAAACCCATATAAATAAGATTACTAAAACTCCTCTTCAACCTTTAATCCAGGGACAAAAAAAGGGGGGAGGGGGATAGAGGTTAAAAGATGTATCCATTTCCCCTACCCTCAACAGAATAGGAGTCAGGAGACCTGCCATTATGAATCTGGGTGATCCTGGCCTCAAGTATATTACCCCAAAGGGAAACTACAATGTCTGAACTAAACAAACTTAAGATGGAGGGTGGCCAGGTTTTTCCGTCTTCACCTGCCCCGATCCGGTACATTTCTCTTCGGGCCAGTCATCTCCCTAATTCTGGCGTGCAAGGCCCCGCCTCCTCCCGCCCCACCCACAAGCACCGGCCCCGCCCACCTGGCCGGCCCGCTCACCCGCATGACCCCGCCCAGTCCTGACCAAACCCACCACGTGGGGCGGCAACGGAGTCTGGAAAGTGGACGCTGGAGGCGCTGCGGAGTCAGAGTCAGGTTCGCTCGGCTCCGCTGCACCCGTCGGGGAGGAGGTGGATTTTAGGCTTCCCGAAGACTGGAAGAATCTGCTCAAAACCGCTTGCCTTGCAGGGGCTGGGCCAGCGGCAGCCACGCCGCCAGAAACCGGCTTCCGGCGCGACATCGCGGGGCAAGGAATGATAACCCGGGGTCAGGCCCCAGCCAGGAGCGCGAGCCCGCGGCCCCAGTTCCGGGCGTCTGCGGGGGCGAGCACGTCGCGACCCAGCCGTGCGCCGGGGCGAGGGCGGGGCGTAAGCGGGGCGGGGCGGGGCGGGGTCTTGCCTGCACCAATGGGAGCGAGGGGGCGGAGTGGCCACGGTTTCGCGCCAGGGTTGGCGCGCACTTTCTGTGGGGCTAGCAAGCCAGGAGGTTTTCGTGCCGCCGTCATGGTTCGTACCCTAAACTGCATCGTTGCTGTGTCCCAGAACATGGGCATCGGCAAGAACGGAGACCTGCCTTGGCCCCCGCTCAGGTACCTGCCGGGCCAGAAACGGGTTAGCATGCAAGACACCTGGACAGGGCGGTGCTGGGCCGACTCGCCGCGGGAGGATGGGGTTGGACTTCGACATAGCTTTCAGGATCTGGCAGGGCAAGTTGCTGACTCCCGTCCAGCTCCTGCTGCCCCGGGAGGCATTTTCCCCGCGGCGCCCTGCACCGGAGCAAAGTCCCAGTCCTGAAAATAATCCCGGTCCCGCCTACCGTTCGTCTAGGCGGTAGAGCTTGAGCCCACGGGAAGACGTTCTGGGTAACACTATGTTTCTCTCACTTGTAGGAATGAATTCAAGTATTTCCAGAGAATGACCACAACCTCTTCAGTAGAAGGTAATATAGGGTTTTTTTAATGATCGAGATCCCCCAGGGGTCTTGCTTGAGTAAGCTTCCCAGTGCCAATTTTACTTATATGTCATATTTTCCATGTTAAACTGGGACTTTTTGTCTTACTATTGATCTGTATGCAGTTCCCAATGTTTATTAGTTTTTTTAAAATGTTCTTTGAAATTATATGTGGGCTGCATACAATTAAGCAGTTGGCAACTAGTTAGAGGTTGGCTCTGGTGACCAGAGGAGCCCTTTGGAATAGCCACCTGAAGAGATGATAAGTCCAAAGAATGGTTATATGATACACGATTCGGAGATGAAGAAATTAAAGGTGATGCCAGGAAGGCGTCAAGGATGAGCTCTTGGGTTTTCAGTTTAAGAGTACAGGTGATAATGGAGAATAGTTTGCCCTTATAACAATTTTGAGGGGCTTGTAGGATATTCAGACACAGGGTACTAGGTGAATTGAAACACTGAAGAGAAGATAATCACCACAGAAAAGAATATGGGGTTGGGGTATACTCATTTAAGATGTAAGATGTATATTTGGTCATAGGAGGAAAAATAACAGTAAACAGGGAAATAGAAAGGAGGGGGTGCAGCATAACTTTAACAGAACAGATGCAAGTTCTTGGACTTGGCACTTAGGTCACTACTGATAGAGACAAGATGGCGGGAGCTTGAAGCTAAGTAATTGAAATGAACCACCCTCAAGAATCCTAAGTAGTCTGGCCCTGGCCAGTGTGGCTCTGTTGGTTGGGCCTGGCCCCTGCAGCGAAAAGTTGCTGCTGGATCCTCAATAGGGGGCGTGCAGGAAGCACCCACATCAATGTTTCTTCCATCCATGTCTTTCTCTCCCCCTCACCCTTTCTCTCTCTCTCCTGAAATCAGTAAAAATAATCTTTAAAGAAATCTCTTGTAAATGACAAAACTGTGGAATGGGTTGCCAAAAATTGTTGCCCTTCATTAGATGCTTCCAGCAGTGTGAATCCTAAATTGAATCCTGTCCACATCTCCTTTCTCCCAAGAGAGAGGATCTCATTCAATGATGTAATTACCATTTACGTGCTATTAAAGAGCCTTCCAAACAAAAAATAAAATAAAATAAATAATAATCTTTAAAATATGGTGTTTAAAAAACGGATCCTAAGTAGTCTGGTAATAGGAAACAAAATATGGAAAAATATGCAATCTTACTAGTAGTTTGTAAATATTAGTGTTTTTTTAATCAAGCTGATTCAAGAATCATAAATGTGTATGTTCCTTTGATCCTCTGACTCACAAGCTTTTTTCTCAATAATTAAACCAGAAATGGAAACTACGTGTATAAAATTGTTAAAGAAAGAGGCACAAAGTATTTTAAGCTAATTGAGTGGCATATTAAGCAGTTATCTTTAAAAGTATGACTATTAATGTGAATCTACAAAGTACACAAATAGGAGTACTATTATATCAAATAGTTAAACAGTACTTTCAGATGTTAAACATTGTTCTAAGTCGTCAATCCCCACAGTCCTAGAAATAGGAACTACAGGGTGGGGCAAAAGTATGTTTGCAGTTGTGAGTAGCAAAACACAGATTTTATTCTTGTATTATTATTATTTATTATTATATTATTTTCCTTACAAACAACTGTAAGCCTACTTTTGCCCCACCCTGTATGTTATCTCCATTTCATAGATAAAGATAGTAAGGCACAGAAGATTAACATGACTTGCTTAGTAAATAACAGAATACCTTCAACTTTGACTCAGAATCTTTGCTTTTCACTACAATTTTATACATGACTGCAATTGATTAAAACTATATTGCATATAAGTTGGATAAAGCCAAAGGGGGAAATAATTACATTTAGATAATGGGGGGGTGATAAATGGTAAATTTTGGTAAGCTGTTAGAAATTTTAATTTTTTTGCCCTGGCCGGTTTTTCTCAGTGGTTAGAGCATCGGCCCATGGACCAGAGAGACCTGGGTTTGGTTCCCACTAAGGGCACATACCTTGGTTGCAGTTTGTCCCCAACCCCAGTAGGATTCGTGTGGGTGGCAGCCAGTCGATGTGTGTCTCTCACATTGATGTTTCTCTCTCTTTCTTCCTCCCTCTCTTCCTCTCACTCTATTTGAAGATGAATGCAAAAGTGTCCTCGGGTGAGGATAAAAATAGATAAATAAATAAATAAATAAATATTTCTTGCCACTCCCTTAAAAATTTTTAATATTTTTAAAGCAGATCCACTAGATATCAATGACAATCATATATATGCATACAGCATACATACAAATATAAATATATGTATTCACAAAATATATTCTTTCTATGTGATTTTATAGGTAAACAGAATTTGGTGATTATGGGTAGGAAGACCTGGTTCTCCATTCCTGAGAAGCAGCGACCTTTAAAGAACAGGATTAATTTAGTTCTCAGTAGAGAACTAAAGTAAGTACTAATAAATTCACAAGAAAATCATGTCCCATTTCTTATGTTGGAGGTCAGTACATGACAAAATAAAATACTATGAATGTAGCTATTGATGAAGCTGCTTAATATCACATAGGCGATTACAGAAAATGAATACGCAGTTGTAACTTATTCTGCTGCTTAAGAGAGTGATTTCATCACTTTAAAAAGTTACATTACATTGCACATTTCCTTGAACCGTTACTCAATTCAATTCAGTAGGGTCAAATATCAGTTGTATAATGTAAATTAATAACTCTTTTCAGTTGCACATGCAATCAAAATAGATACGTTTGGGACTTCACAAAATTAAGTTACTATCATCTCTCTGGACCCAGCCCTAAATGCAGTAAGATATAAATTTTAAGATGGGCAAAAAACTGGTCATAATCTTGTGCCCTACTTTTCCTAATTTTCCACAATACCCAGATAGTATTTCGTACTTCTGTTCTTTACTCTGTGTCTGCAGATTAAAAATACTTGAAAGTACTGAAATGGTTCTAAGGATCTTAGAAAAGGAAGTATGTCCACCTGGTCTCTGATAGGAACTTTTATGTCCTCCAGGCCAATATATGATGCCTGGAAATGAACTGGAAGGGGAGGTGGGCTGTTAATGGCATTAAAACTACCCATTAAGTCTATTCCAGTGCTTTTACCTTCACCATAGCTTCCATGTCATTTACTCCACATGTGATATATCCTGATTTCTATATTTTTTGTTGTTTACATTGGTCCTAACTCACTAAAATAATTTTCTGAACCTCAAAGGTCTGTTTGGGGGGGGGGGGGTTGCCCTGAATTAGACCTTGGGAAAAGTTTGGGATTGGCATGGTAATTGTTTCTTAAACTAGTAATGTAGTCATAAAAATATCTTACAAGGAATTGGATTGCACAGTTTGGGGGCTAGCTAGGCAAGTCCAAAATTTGTAGGGCAGGCCATCAAGATGGGGAGGATGGAACTCTTGAAGCTGATGTCTGTGGGTGAAGTTTCTTAAGGGAAGGCTCAGATCTCTTCTTAAAGCCTTTCAACTGATTGAATCTGTCCCACCCAGATTAAAGTCATCCATTTATCACCTTTAATCACATCTACAAAAATTCCTTCACAGCAACACCTAGATTAGTATCTGAAAAACTGAGGACTATAATCTAGCCAAGTGACACATCAAAGACCATCACACCACAGGAAGGAAAAAACATTACACAACTATAGGCTAAGGGGGTTCAGGCTTCTATAGATTTTTCTCCCAGATCCCTCCTGCAGTACCATAGGCAAAACCTAGAAGAAAATATACCAGAATATTTGCATTGATTGGCTTTGGTTGATGGGAAATATGTTGTACATCTTGCCATCTGCCTCAGTCTTCATACTGTTCCCTTTCTCCTGGTTGCTAGGATATTCTGATTATCTCTTTACTTGATAGAATCCAAATTTGCACACTGTATTGCCATTTCTAGAGACTCTTTAGTAATATATTCTTGAAGACTACTCAAGTGTATATATGGCTAGCTTAAGCCAAAACAAACATAAAGAAATCTCAGTGGGAGAGATGATCAGTTGAGACAGCAAATCTCCTAAAGTGATGAGTCTAATTTCTTTATGACCTCTCTGGTTTGTTTAATTGGGTTTGGTTATTTATTATATATTTATATATAACATTTGTTGGTGTATTTTGCTTTTTATTTATAGGCAGAGACAAAATTTAAAGTCTTTATTATCAAGCATGCCAAGGAAATAGGGATATCAGTTAGGAAAAAAATTTTAAGATCATTTTTTACCCTGCCTTCTGCTTCCTCTGGCTAACTGCTGGTCAGTTCCTCATACATTCAGAGTACCTGCTGTGTACCAGGCACTGCTAGATCCTGAATAAAAGGGGATTTACACATGTGAATTGATATTGCTCCTGCAAGTTCAGAGACAGTCTTTCACCATCACCCTCTCCCCCACATGAGAAAAAACTAAATCCTCAAGGTAATCCCAAAATTTGCTGCCCTGTACTAGTTATTTTGGGTAACTACTTAATAAGTTATAGGGAAAAATGCTTTTCCATGGCTTTCTAGACTTTTAAGTTGTGGCTTTAAAAGAAATGCTATACAGCCACATTTGGAAAACAGATTGTCACTTTTTCAAAAGGTTAAACATAGAGTTATATGACCCAGCAATTCTACTCCTTGGCATATACCCAAGAAAAATGAAAACCTATGACCCCACAAAAACTTGTATACAAATGTTCATAGCTACATCATTAATAACATCCAAATATTGGAAACATCCCAAATGTTCATCAACTGATGAATGATAAACAAAATGTGCTATATCCACACAATGGAATATTTATTATTCCACACAATAGAAAGGATGAGGTAATATATGCCACAACACACATGAATTTTGAAAACAGTATGCTAATTGAAAAAAGCCAGACACAACATACCACATGATTCCATTTAAATGAAATGTTCAGAATAAGCAAATTCATAGAGACAAAGGAGGTGGGAGGGGGAAAAACTGATAATAGGGACAGGGTTTCTTTTCAGGGTGCTAGAAATGTTCTGAAGACAGTGGTGATGGTTGCACAACTCAATGAACATACTAAAAAGAACTGAAATGTACACGTTCCAAAGGTAAATTGTATAGTATGTAATCTCTGTCTCAATAAAGCATTTTTTAAAGGTCTTTGAAACCAAAAATTAAATTAAGAAACTTCACTGCAATGCTGTAGCTTTGACAGTATTTTTAGAAAATCCAAAATTACCTCCATTAAATAAGATGCTGTAAATTGGCCAGGGAAGATGGCGGCAGACAGGACCAGAGCAAGTGTGAGTGGACATGAGTGTAGATGAGCAACCTTGAGTAGCACAGAAACGTGGGGCAGAGGATTCCTGTGCTGTGGACAGAGAGCAGCTGGCTACCTTGGTAAGCAAATTGTCAGCAAGCCTTTTCCTGCGCAGCTAGGCCCCACCATTTTGGAAGATTCCTGGTCTTCTCTGGGAGGAGGAAGCGGGGAGGGTCTAGGGCTAAGTGACCTGAGTCCACCAGAGCACCTTGCACTATCGGACCAGTGGACCCCACTGTGTCAACACGGACCAGCGTACGGTAGCAGTGCCACTGAGGTGCCTGCTACAGTAGCTGCATCTGGCCAGGAGCCAAGCACCATCCCCCACAGCAGCAGTGACTGGGCAGGAGTGAAGCCCCACCCCAACAGCAGCTGAGGCTCAGGAGCCAAGACACACCTCCAGCAGCAGAGGCTTGGGAGTAGACATCCATCCCCAGGCAGCAGCAGCACATATTGGCAGTTGAGACCCATCAGCAGAGGCCAATCAGGAGTGGTGCCCTAGCCCAAGCAGCAGCAAGACTCAGGCAACCAAGACCTGCCCCTGACAACTGCAGCAGCGGATTTGGAGTAGAGCCCCTGCCCCTGCAGTAGCAAAGTCCCAGAAGCAGAGTATCCTCAGCCCACAACAGCATCAGAGGATTGGGAGCTGAGAGCATCCCCTGGCAGCAGCAGCAGCAGTAGCAGTGCAAACTGAGAGTTAACACTTGCCCCCAGCAGCTACTGATCAGTAGCTGAGCCCCACCAGGCAGCAGAGCACCCCAGCAGAACACCAGCTGGACCCACACACCCCAGGCAGCAGCAGCACAGATTAGCAGCTGAGACCCATCTGCTGGCATCAGCAGAGGCTAATCAGGAGTAGAGCACCAGTCTAAGCAGCAGCAAGGCTCAGGGAGCCGAGACCTGCATGACAGACCAATACCAACTACCAGTTGTCAATCCTCCAGGACCCACAGCAGGCAAGAGATGCCATACACCAAAACAGCCTGGGAGGCACAGCAGCCTTATTTGATACACATTGACCTGCCTACATATTCCATCATTTCTCACTGGGCCTAGAACTACAACACTACTAAAATGGTGAGACAAAGAAGCAACACCCAAATGAAACAAAAAGTGGAATCACCAGAAAAGGAACTACCGGAAATGGAAGAAAGCAATTTGTCAGATAAAGAATCCAAAGCAATGATTTTTAAGGGTACTCAAACAATTTAGTGGGAATTACATCAGCTTAAAAAAAGAGGTAGAAGCTATGAATAAAAATCAAGATGAAATAAAGAATGGCATAGCTATTATGAAAAATACCTTAGAAGATTCAATAGTAGATTAGAAGAAGCTGAAGACTGAGTTAGCAACTTAGAAGACAAACTAGAAAAAAACACCAATAGAACAGCAAATGGGGGGGGGGGGATTAAAAAGCAGGAGGAGAGTTCTAGGGAGCTTTGGGACAACGCAAAATGTAACAACACTCACATTATAGAGGTTCCGGAAGGAGAAGAATCAGAGAAAGGAATAGAGAACCTGTTTGGAGAAATAATGAAGAGAACTTCCCTAAACTGGTGAAAGAAAAAGGCATACAAGTCCAGGAAACAGAGGGTCCCATTAGACTGTTGGCTGATTTCTCAATAGAAACAGTGCAGGCCAGAAGGGAATGGCATGAAGTATACAAAGTAATGAAAGGCAAGGGTCTGAATCCAAGACTACTCTATCCAGCAAGGCTATCTTTCAGAATTGAAGGAGAAATAAAGAGCTTCACAGACCAAAAAAAAAAAAAAAAAAAGCTAAAGGAATTTACCACCACCAAACCACACTGCAAGAAGTGCTGTAGGGACTGTTGTAAGAAGAAGAAGAAACACAGACAGACAGAGAGGAACACAGGCACAAAATAAAAATGGCAACTAATAAGTAACTATCAATAATAACCTTAAATGTAAATGGCTTAAATACTCCAATCAAAAGACATAGCGGAGCTGATTGGATAATAAAACAACCTATATATATGCTGTATACAAGAGACACACTTCATAATAAAAGACTAGCACAGGATGAAAGTGAAGGGATGGCACTGGCCAGTTTGGCTCAGCAGTTAGAGCGTCGGCCTGCGGTCCTGGGAGACCCGGGTTCAGTTCCCGCTAGGGGCGCGTGCCT